TGGTGGTGCTGGTGGTGCTGCTGGTGGTGCTGGTGGTGCTGCTGGTGGTGCTGCTGGTGGTGCTGGCGGTGCTGCTGGTGGTGCTGGTAGTGGTACTGGTGGTGCTGCTGGTGGTGCTGGTAGTGGTACTAGTGGTACTGCTGGTGGTGCTGGTACTGCTGGTGGTGCTGGTGCTGCTGGTGGTGGTAGTGCTGGTTCTGCTGCAGGTTGTGGTGCTGGTGGTAGTGGTGTTGTTGCTGCTGGTGCTTCTGCTGGTGGTGGTGCTGGTGGTAGTGATGGTGTTGCTGGTGCTAGTGGAGGTGGTGGTGCTGCTGGTGCTGCTGGTGGTGCTGGATCTGCTGCTGCTTGTGGTTCTGATGGTGCTGGTGGTAGTGGTAGTGGTGCTGCTGCTGTTGGTGGGAAGCAGAACTTTAACTTGGGTGTGTTTTTGATGGGGGCCAGAAGCCACAGAGGAGGACCTTAGAGGACGGAATCAATCGTGCCCACCTAAAACAATGCTGAGGAAAGGATCCGAGCTCTGGTGCCGGCGCTATGTGTTTCTGTGTTGTCTTGAGGACCTATCAGGCTTCCAACACCTGATGCAGTTAACCCCGTGAATCATGTGAGCACTCCTCTCATTCTCTCTTCTGTGTTGTGAGTGTGTGCTTTTGAGTATTGCAGTGGACATGTAGGCATGCCGGTTCACATGCCTGTTGTGTGTGTTATGTTGTGTGTCAGTGTGCTGTGTGTACTTGCTGTGGGTGTAGGTATGGAGGTATCAATTTGCACAAGCATTAGTGCCTGTGTGCATGCATGCGTGTGTGTAGGCCAGACACCAGACTGTTTGCTGTCTTCCTTGGTTGCTCTCCACCTTTATTTTTGAGGTAAGGTCTCTCACTGAATCTGAAGCCCAGTGGGGTTAGTAGGCTGGCTGGCTGGGGAGCTCTGGAGATGGACTCTTCTCTGCCTCCCAGTGCTGGCCTTGTAGGTATGCAGCACCATGCCTGACCTTTTAGGTTGGATCTAAGGATCCATGTCAGGTTCTCATGCTTGCCTAGCATGAACTGACTGAGCCATTTTCTGAGTCTCTACTCTTCTCATTCTTTTTTAAAAACTGTTTTGAGACAGCGTTTCTCTGTGTAGCTGTGGCTGTCCTGAAACTCACTCTGTAGATCAGGCTGACCTCAAACTCACAGAGATCTGCCTGCCTCTGTCTCTCAGGTGCTGGGATTAAGGGTGTGCACCATCACCACCCAACTTACTTTTCTCATTCTTATTCTAGGCTATGGATTAATAAACCACAGTATGGACCACATCTGGCTCAGCATCAGTCTTTGTAAGTTGGTTGGTTGGGACACAGCTACACTTACTAGTTTGCATATTGTCTGCCACTGATTTTGTAGAGTTTAATCTCTATGATGCCGATCGGATAAAACCGACAAAGTACAAAACATTTACTATGCGACTTTAAAGAAAAAGTTCTCAGACCCCAATTGCCACTCCCAAAGGGAATGACTGCCCGCCTTTGTTTCTCTGAGCAAACTGATGCTCTGATTTCTAAGCTTCCTTCTTTCCTGTTCTGTATTCTCCTTGCAATTTGCATTTATTGTCCTGCAAGGCTTAGGAAAAGGCCAGCCTATGCCAAGGATTAGAAAACCCATCAAGGTGTGTGCTACCTCATGAGCCTAATCAGTAATTGACAGTTTGATGTTCCTTTCACCTAGCCAAAATCTACTTATGCCTTTAAAACATTTATTATATATGTGTTGTGTATGTGTATGCAAAAATGTATCTTAATGAATGTACATGTGCCGGAGTGTGTGTGTGTGTGTAGTGTGTGTGTGTGTGCGCATGTGTGTGTGCGCGTGTGTGTGTAGTGTGTGTGTGTGCGTGTGTGTGTAGTGTGTGTGTGTGTGCGCATGTGTGTGTGCGTGTGTGTGTGCGCATGTGTGTGTGCGTGTGTGTGGTGTGTGGTCGTCATAGGGCAGCTTGTGAGAGTTTGTTTTGTCTTTCTGCCACATGAGCTATGGGGATCAATCTCTGTCCTTCAAGTTGGCAGTGAGTGTATTTACTTATTGAGTCCTACCAATGCTCCTTATTTAGGGCAGAGACCACCCCCTGTGACACAGCCTCTTGAAGAGGTGACATTTTGGGATGTTGTTCAAAGAACGAGCCAGCTATTCAAGGAGCTGCAAAAGGGATGTTTTAGACAGAATGATGAAGTGTATAAGCCTTGGAGTCAGGAAGGACTTGACACGCTCAATGGATGAAGGAAGGTAAGGGAAGCTCAAAGACTACAGCAACTGGATTTATTCTAGATGCAGTGGGGGAATCCATTTATGGCTTTTGAGCAGGATAGTGTTAGGGGCGCGACTGTGGACATTTTGGTATTGTTGTTTAGTTATTTTGAGCCATGGCTTCACTATGTAGCCATGGCTGGCCTGGAACTAGCTCATGTAAACCAGACTATCCCCAAAGTTGCTGTGATCCTGCTGTCTCGGCTCCTAGGTTATGTGCGGGTGTCACTACGTCTGGCTATACTGTTCATAACAATAGAACTATCCAGCTATGATCATAGTACTACAAAGGCAGGGGCCTGAGTACTGTGAGCTTAAGGCCAACCTGATCTACGTAGTAAGTGGCAGACAGGCCAAGGGCCATAAAAGATGCCCATGTCCTGATCTCCCAGAAGGCATAATTATATTACCTTTCAAGACTTAAAGGCCTTTGTGGATTAAGGATCATGAGCTGGGAAGAATCTGGATTGTTCTGGTGGGCATAGTATAAGAGGAAGATGGAAGAGTCCAGGGTCAGAGAAAGCAATGGGATGACGGAAGCAAGGGTGAATGCTCGAGACAAATTTGGAGATGGATGAAGGCATTATAAGCAGGGGCATGTACTTAACCTTCCGACAATGGCAAATGCTTCAGCCCTGCTGATATCTTGATGTCATTCTCCAGTGCAGCCCTCATAAGGCATACAGCCCGACTGACATCTTGATGCTAGCATTGTGACATCCCTTCAGATGGCTGACCCTCTGGGCTCGAATATAATAGTCTTTGCTCTTTTGAGTCTCTAACCTTGGGGAGATTTGTTACAGAAGCTCAATGTGGAAAGAGAAACCCAAACCTGCTGTGATTAGCAACTCGAAGGGTGAATTAGAGGAGTGGAGAGGCGAGGGGCAGGGTAGAAGTGGAACAGAAGGGATAGAAAACAATTCAAAACATTTATTTTTAGTGTGTGTGTGTGTGTGTGTGTGTGTGTGTGTGTGTATTAACAGGATCATGGAGGCCAGGTGCATTGAATCCCCTGTGGTTACTGGGAAGCAAAACAGTGTTCTCTGGAAGAACAGAATGCGCGTTTAACTGCTGGGCTAGCTCTCTAGCACCCTCCAGCGGCAGTTAAGAAAAATGGTCTTCTTAGCTTTTTCTTTTTTTCCTGTTAATTTTTTTATTTTTATTGCTTTATAAATAATACCATTCAAAATTTCCACTTCCTCCTCTCCTCCAATTTCCCTCCAGCTTCCCCCCTCCTCCTTACTCCCCTCCAGTCCTAAGAGAGGGCAGGGTACCCTACCCTGTGGGAAGTTCAAGGCCCTCCCCCCTCCATCCAGGCTTAGGAAGGTGTGCATCTAAATAGACTAGGATCCCAAAAAGTCAGTACATGCAGTAGAGACAAATCCCAGTGCCATTATCATTGGCTTCTCAGTCAGCCCCTGTTGAAATAAGGAGCGGCGGGGCTGCGTCCCCAGCACCCCAGCCGCCTGCTAGCTTATGCCCGAAATAACAACACACAAACTGTATTCATTTAAAGACTGCTTGGCCCATTTCTATCTAGCCTCTTCTAGGCTAATTCTCACATATTAATTTAGCCCATTTCTAATAATGTGTGTAAGCACCCCAAGGTGCGCTTACCAGGAAGGTTCTAACCTCCATCCATCCTGGGTTGGAGTTGCCTGGGAGAGCGGAGCCTGGCATCTCTGCTCCAGAGAGCAGAGCTGTCGAGTCTACCCGGGAGAGCTGAACATGGCGTCTCTGCTCCAGAGAGCAGAGCTGTCGGGTCTCTCCAGAAGCAGAGCAGAGTCTGACCTCACTTCCTCTTCCGCCCAGCATCCTATTCTGTTTATTCCACCCACCTATGTTCTAAGCTATGAGGCCAAGCAGTTGGTTTATTATAATTAACCAATTACCTTCCTCCATCAAATCAAGATGTGAGAGTTAACCAATAAGAGGCTAGAGCTAATGGGCCAAGCAGTGATTTAATTAATACAATTTCTGTGTGGTTATTTCAGGGCTAAGCTAGCCAGGTGGCCGGGATGAACAAGTGGGCCCTCCTCCTCCTTCTTTTCCTTCTCCTTCTTCATATTCCTATCTCTGCTAATTTCTGGGATGCTTCTGCTCCAGCTTCTGTTCTCTCTCTTTGTTCTAACCCAGCTATAAAGACCCAAAATCTTGCAGGCATAGAGAGTAACCAGGCAATCTATGTAAACAGACAAGGGAAATTTGTGGCCCTTGATCCATTAGTACATTCTTCCAAATGTAGTAAGCTCTGAGGGCCTTTTATATGCGAAGTTTGCACCTGTTACTCTAAGCAGTTGAAACAAAGAGAAGACCCACGTCTCTAAATTGTCAGATCGGGGCTTGATACCTATCAGAGACACCAGTGGAGGTTTGGTCTTCCTCTGGGCTGTGTGTAGATGGTTAGTTTCTTTTCCCGAGAATAAGGCATAAGCAGTAAATCTCCTGAACTAAAATCATCAGTAAACTGAGGTGAAGGTGAGCACGAGGAGTTAGGAATCTTTTAATGCAAGGTTAGTTTTAGGTCATTGCTTTTCTTATTAACAAGTTAGGTAAAACCAGGGCATGCTTATTTTTGCTATCTATCTGAGCATCTATGAATCAAAAGCTTTGGGCATGTAGTAATTCCGTGACCTTGAATATCTGGGAATGTCTTAAGTGGAACACTGTTGCCTGGGCCCTAAACACTGACCTGTCAATAAAGATAATTGCAGGAAGGCAAGTCTCTACCCTTTACATTGAAAAAAGGAACAGAGACCTGGTAGTGGGAAGCAGGTTTCTTGACTATGTGACTATTTTCATACATATCCAGATGTGATCACTAAACCCCAAATGCATAAGGAAAAGTGTGCCTAGACCAAATAGTGCTGAACTGTGGGAGATAAATCCCAAATTTGTAACAGATAAGAATAAGTTACAGAGAAATCTACAGCAAGAAACAGCCACTTTATTCACAAGGCAATAGTTCCAACATGCCTTGCATCTTGGCCTAATTCCTCCAAAAAAAGCCCTTGCCTCTGATGAGTTGATTTTGTGAAATGAGGCTGATTAATTACTGAATGATCCAATGACTCATAGCAAGGATACCTTGCTCAGCTTTGATACGGAATGGGGAGTTTGGTCCTGCCTCAATTTGGTATGCCAGACTTTGTTGATTCCCCAAGAGAGACCTAACCCCTCTG